CTTAATATGATATGTATAGTAACTTAATTTTACTGCTAATATTATTTTTGGATGCAGATTAATATCTTTTTTAATGTAATTTTTGTAATGTACCATTGGTAGTATGTACTAAAACTGAGGGTCATTAAGTAATCAGACTATAATACTGTATTAATTGTGGGTGTTAATTATTATTAGTGAAATTGATTTCATTATGTAATCTGATCGGATTAAGTATGAGTCATTGTTTAATAGGAAAGACTCTTAGGAAAGAAGATGAGTTAGTTAGTGAAGCAGGAATAAGAATAATAGCAAAATAATGCTATTGGGAAGAAAGGTACGTGTACGTATGTCTGTATTTTGAGCGAAATTTCTTTTTAGTTACAAATATCTATAGTCATGCTGTGTATAATCCACTTGTACTAATTAAAGTCAGCTATGAGGGTTTTATTGCATGTTCTTGCTAATTACAAATTTTAAGGTTACATTTGCAGGTATATGTACAAATTATGCATACAGTACATACATATGCATCAAAAGTTTCTGGTAAAGGTATTACATCCACACTGACTTTACTGTAATGCTAACTGCAAGTGCTTTAGGCTCATTCCTTATTATGTCTTACATTTTTTTCTAATTTTATCACTGGATAGACTGATCCAGCTCAAGACGAGTGTCTCAAGAAGCTTGAGGATATTTCAGAATCAACAAATACTATTGAGAGAAAGATTATGAAAATTGAACAAGAGCTGGAGGGGATTGAAAAGGTACTTTCTTTGTGCAGTAAATACACATATAATGTACAAGCTAGTACATGTGTGTCTTAAAGGGATACTGTTGCCGTGTACGGAGAGCTCAAGAAGATATGGACTCCAGTAAACACAGCTATAAGGTCAAACTTACCCGTCAAAAAGACACTAGCCTTTTACGGATGGCAAACTTGATGAAGAAAAATGCAGTTAATTGCTTACCTTTAGTTTGGTGGAGATAAACATAAGACATCATTTGTTAAAGTATCAGAGCTCCAGAGCAAGAGTCAGAGCATAAACTGCTGCTATATTACAAGATACATGTATAAGCCCGCAGCAATTTTTTGGATTTATAAACTTTTTGTGTACTCAAGCCATGCAGCTCTTCAGTAAACTGCGCCAATATCCCTTTAACTCCCTATAAACATGGTACATACATATTATACTTTGTTCATATTCTTTGAGTTACTCAATAGCTTATATGATTAAACTTTCCTCTCTCTCCTTTTCTTCCTCCTCTCTCTACAGTCTGTTAGATGTACTAGCTGACAGGAAGTCAAAAGGTGGTCTAACTGGTATTGTGTTAGTTAATGGACGGCCACAACCAAAATACTTCAAGTGTATGAGTGGTTACGTTGTACAGGTACACCATAGTCACATGACCATCACATGATACTGTATATACATTTATAGTATACTACATGGGTGCATCAAAGGCACCGCCTGTTCCATTATATTGCATACAGCACTAGTACAGCACCGGAAGTTAGTGTCGGTTGGTTGGTTTCACAATGGCTAGCAGTACTGGGTGAGAAGTTTTTTGTGACCAGAGAAGAAATGAAACTGCTCTACCTATTGCGGAACAGACTCGCAACACTCCTTTACGACCATTGTCGGCATTTTGCTGTCTTTCAGTGCCCAGAGATGTTCTTGTATTGATCGTCGGGCAGCCAAGTCCGTGTTATGTGGCAAAGAAAATTGTCTTGTGAGCTTTTAAATGTTTGTGCTGGCTTTGTCTCAACCTTGAAGACTTGAGAAAACTTCTCTAGGAGTGTATTTGGCGGACGCCTTTGATGCACCCACTACATCCCATAAATTAATTATAGCACAGTAAAGAGTGCTGTAACTATTATGTACATGTATTTGCTTTAAATTTGTTTAATTACATGTAAATGAGAATTGGGCCACAAATTTTGCCAAAATTGAAAAGAGAGAGAACTCTCTATTCTATAATTTCTTGTAATGCATATACATGTACAAGTTTTAATGTTGTATAGAAAGTTTGAGTAAATTCTAATCAAAATTAATTTTAAAAAAATTTTAAAGTTACTAAAAAATCAAGCCAAAGTCCCTGTAAATTTTGCCAAAAAATAAAAAGGAGTCAATCTTTATTTTAATAATTTCTCTGATACGTACATGTATACATGTTCTTATGTTGTGTAGAAAGTTTGAGCCAATTCCGATCAAAATTGAATTTAAAAAAAAATTTAAAGTAGCCATGAACTGTAGAATGATAGTGCTGGTCAGCTTGTCCTGTTTAGATCACTTAGCATGCTTTGTGGGAAGCAATGTACCTGTCCTGATTATAGAGATGTCCTTATATTTTGATTTCTGTAAATTATATGTATATTGTAAAGTTCTTTAATAATAATAATAATAATAATAATAATAATAATAATAATGATTTATCTTGATTATTTTTAAATTTAATGGACTGGATGCATTCACTGCTGTAGCTGTAGTACAACTGCTTAGGAAGTAAAATTAATTATTATACTGTATTAAGATTAGTATTTATTTATTTATTTATTAAATTTATCGAATCATGTACTGTATAGTGCAAAATTTATGAGGGGTGTAAATTTTCAGATTTTGAGAAATTTTTAAGATTCTCAAAAATTAATTCCATAAAAATCGAATTGCTATGGTAAAAGATGGTAGGCGACATAAATTTGGAAAATATAATTTGCAAAAATCAATAGATTTTTAGGCAAATTTTTGCAAGTTACAGCCTTCAAATATTCTGCACTATATGGTATTTATTTATCTATTCATGTACAGTATGTATTTAATCACGTATTATTTATTGGCCTCGCCTACGCGAGGTATAGGTAGTTGTTGTGTGTGTCTGTCATTCATTCATTCATTCATTCATTCATTCTGTACAACTGAAATTTGTTTTTAATAAACAATAACTTTAGCACAGCGTGTTCTAAGCTCCTAGATCTTTCTTTTTGACGTGGAAAAGTCTTTCTTAACTGTTTTGTGTTGCTCAAATACAAGTGCTAGGTACAGAAGCTTCAAAGTAAGAAAATCGAGTAGTTGGGCCAAGTTCCGTTGT